GGGGGGCTCAGGAGGGGGCGCTGGGGAGCAGGGAGTGGCGGGGGCTCAGTAGGGGGCGCTATAACCTTTCTCTCTTAGATGGTTTTGAATGGTAAGGTGCAATTTATGATATTTATTTATTTTTAATTAATCAAAAGCTTGTGTGCCCGGTATTACCCTTCCCTCCCGCGTTACTGCCCATCTACAACCTCTCTTCAGTCCAGGCCGATGCGTTCCCCATCTACCAATCTCAACCGCACATCAATGACCTACGGCCAAGAGAAAAATGTTAAACCCTTTATTACACAGAAAAAGCGTTCAATAAACTTTAAAAATCTCACTTGGTGCCTGCATCTCTTTTGCCTCAATTTTATTTGCCGTATAGAATAAAAATCCCTCTTTTCTCCTAGCCAGAGGAAGTATTTCCTTTCTGCAAACCCTTTACAATAAACGTCAAACTGTGGAAATTCCCCGTCCAAAACCTTTGTGATGCTAAAGAACTTTTAACAAATGACTTTCGATATTTTGCTGCCTGATCTTATTTCTCTTTCATGTTATTTGCACTGGAGAATAAAATCCGTCTTTGTTGCCAGACAGAAAGGCTTTTTGCCAACGCTGTACTTTAAAAAGAAAAAAGGAATTCTCAGCTAAAAACTTGGCTGTGATGAAGAAATTCAATATATCGTTAACAACTGACTTTAGATACGTTGCTGCCTGATTTGATTTCAGTTAATTTGTATTTGGACCGATGAATACAGCCACTCTTTATATTTTGGAAGAGAGATTTTGAGAAGAATCTGCACTTCTGCAAATATTTCGAAATTCCGAGACAAACATCTGTGTTAAGGGGAAGTGAAGGATGCAAATGTATATCCCGAAGTTTAAAAAAAATAGCCGAGATCAAAATTCAGCAAGAGGTTTTATTATTAAAAGAAAGATCCTTTTTGCAAACAATTTCCTTTAAAAAATGAGGAAATTTCAAGGCAACCCTCCCCCCCACAGTTAAGGATGAAAATAATGTTTCTGTTACTGAAAGAGAAAATAATATCACAGAATGATGGAGATCACAAACAAACACACAGACACAACCAACCAAAACAAATTTAATAGCCCAAAAACAAAAAACCCCAAAACTAAGGAAAGTTCAATGCAAAAAACTTTAAGGCTGAAAATAACTTCTCCTTAAAGAGAAAATAATTTAAAAAAATGATTGAGATTGCAAACAAACAAATTGAATAGACAGGAAAAAAAACCCCGAAGGACGTTCCGAGGAAATTGTGTCCTTGGTGCCTCAGTTTACCCACCTGTGATTCGGGGATAATAACCCCCGCGTCCCGTTCTGAGAGGATGAAGTCCTTTATGTCAGCAGAGCGATTTGAGCTCCCTGCATGGCCGGGGTGAGAGGTGGACATCTTTCTGAGCATGCATTGTGGGTTGGAAACAAACGTTATCTTATCGGGGCAGCTGCTGAAATGACCCTGGTGATAAGTGCCCCTTTGTGGCACGTCCGATTTATCTCTTCCCCTCCGTGCCATGCTCTGACCCCATGCTCCGTAAGACAAATAGCTTGAGAAGTGACCGGTGCATGGCAGGAAGCGATAAGAGATGTTGGTCCAACCTAGGTTGGACACATGCTCCTGAGAAGCCGGCTGGAGCCTACGTTGTTCCCGTGGTTCATTACGCTCACCCTAAAGAATTTCCGCCTTATTTCCCGTCTGAACTGGTCTAGCTTCAGCCTCCAGCCATTGGCTCGTGTCAGACCTTTCTCTGCTAGGCTGAGGAGCCCACGATCACGTCTGTTCCCCATGGAGGTACTTGGAGACCATGATCTAGTCGCCCCGTGGCCTTCTCTTTGTTCCTCTAAACAGCTTGAGCTCCGGGAGTCTCTCACTCTAAGGCAGGTTGTCCAATCCTTTAATCATTCTCCTGGCTCTTCTCTGATCCCACTCCAGTCAATCCACGTCCTTCTCGAGTGGTGGGCACCAGAACTGGACACAGGACCCCAGCCGGGGTCGCACTAAGGCCAAATCCAGGGGGCAAATAAACCCTCGGCTCCTTCTTGCCATTCCCCTGTTTGTGCATCCCGGGATCACACCAGCTCTTCGCGCTGGGAGCCCACGCTGGTTTGCTTGTCCTCGAGGACCCCGAGAGCCTTTTCCGAGCCCCTGCCTGGCAGGATACAGCCTGGCCTTGTGCTCGGCGCTGCACGTTAGTAATTATCGGTGTGGTGGTGGCGCCTTGGACTCCAGCGACAGATCAGGAGCCCACGGTGCCAGGCTGCGCCTCATCTGAACCAACCCTGCTGCCGCTCCTCACTTGCTCCTAGCAGGAGCCAGACTTTAAGGACAAACCTGCCCCGTGAACCATTCCGGTGCTAAGAGGCAGAGATAGGGCGGCCATTACAGCGTCAGCGGGGGAGGCAGGACTCTGGGGTTCTCCTTGTCGGGGGACTTATTTCCACCCTGAATTGCTTCGAGATCTAAACATCGCTGACAGTGGCACTGGACTATTTCCAGTCGTGGGGGTGCTGGAAGCCAGACCCCTTACCCCTGGGCTGTGTCTCTGGGAGGGGGGGACCCGGACAGGGGGAAGGGGGCTGAGGTGTGGTCACAGCTGGAGGGGTGGGTGTGGAGCCAGGAGCAGGGGCCGGCAGCCGGGACTCCATGTGCGGGGCCAGGAGCAGAGCCCCGGCCATGGGGCTGGGTGTGGGGCACCGGGAGTGGAAGCCTGGGAGCAGGGAGTGGGGCTGGGCCTGGGGCCAGCGGCCGGGGAGTGGGGCTGGCAGCCAGGGCCCCAGAAACAGAGCCCCAGGGACGGGGCTGGGAGTGGGGCCCTGGGCGTGGGCCTCGGGCACAGGGCCAGTGGCCGGGGAGTGGAGCTGGCAGCTGGAACCCAAGCCCCAGGTGCGGGGTTGGGGAGCGGAGTGCGTGGCGTGGGGCCAGTGTCTGGTGGCTGGCCCCCGGGACCCGAGCCGAGGAGTGGATCCCCGGGCGTGGAGCTGGCGGCCCCGCATAAAACCTGCACCCCCCGCACCCACACTTCCCGCGCCTGTGTCTGTTGATTGAGGAATCGAATTAGCAAACGGGCAGAGGTGGGCAAATGTAGGAATAGAGGGACTCGGATAAAATCAGTCCCGTGGGCTGGTCACATCAGTAACGGCCGCGCTCTGGGCAGATAGGGATCTTAGAAACTGATTCCCCCCCCCAGCCCCCGCTGAGGGCCTGCCTTGGGCTTTATAAAACCGCCCAGGCCGATGTGATTGAGAGGAATCAGACAGAGAGCGGGAGGTAAGAGCTACCCCTCCTACATGGCCCCGTGTCCCATTCCCCCCCCACCCCCCGCGACGGG